CTCGACTTTCGGCGACTAAAAATGGACTTAGTCGCCAAAGGTGATTTTTCTTGTAGTGTCTAAAAATAATTTTAAAAAAAAATAAAAATATATTTTTTTGAATTTTTTCTTTTAAAATAAAATTTTGAAAAGAGTTTGGTTTTGAGTTTTAAAAAAAGTTTTGAATTGAGTTTTGAGTTGTGTGTTTGGTTATGAGTTTTAAAATTAATTTTTGAATTGAGTTTTGAATAATTTTGAATTGTGTATTTAGTTATAAATTTTGAAAAATAATTTAAAAATTTTATCTTTTGAATCATAATTCAAAGATAAACCAAATACAGCCAAAATGTTTTGTTTTTTTACTTGTTTTTTATGTTGTTTTCCGCCTTTATTAATATTAAAAAATTAATTCCTATTGATATATATCGTGCATCTAAAAAACAAATGTATAAAACATTTTTTTTTTTTTTCACGTGTGATTATGACTTCTCTTCATTCAAAGATAAATATGAAGTCCAAATTGTTGACTACAGCATATACCTCCGTGTAATGATTATCTTGATCATTAAAAGTCAACCACTATTTCACCACATCCGCATCCACATCCCATTAATGAAACTATCCTTTTTTAAAAATAAAAATAAAAATTGTTCTACAATTTTTTTTATAAGTGGCTATACAATTTTTGTAATGAAAAGCTTTTATTGAAAACGTTTACAATAATAATAATAATAATAATAATTTTTCAAAAACTAAAAAAGTTTACCAATTTTGAGAAGTGTGTTTTAGTGCCAAAAAGGATTTAAAAAAACACATTACCTTTTTGTTATTAATTATTTATAAATAACTCATCTATAATGCTGTCCAAGTGGTATTTTTAAACATAATGGTGAGAGTTTCCAATGAAAACCACATAAAAAATTGCATCATTTGTACAACAATTTATTTGTATAGTATTGCATTACTCCTCTTTTAATGCATTAAAGAGAGAATAGGAAGAAAAAAAAGATTTCACTGTTTTTTTAAAGGAAAAATTAGTCTAAAGTCTCCCTCTTTTTTTTGTAATAGAAGAGATCTATAATACTTTTTATGATGTTTAAGTCTCTTCCCATATATCACGGAGAAATTTAACTCTCCCAAATTAAACTCATTTCTCTCTCTCTCTGTACCTTCTCTATTTCATCTCTCTCTTCTCGACAGCTGGGACTCCGAGCTCCGCCTGTAAGGCCTCTCCACCAGTATCACTGCTCGCCGCTTCGTCGGCCACTCCAAAGATGTCCGACAAAAGAAGAAACACCCACAAAGAGACATGAGTGTGGCTCAGTTCGAAGGTTTTTTTTCCCCTGTTTTGGGGGTTCGCCGATCATGGCTGGTTGTGTTTAGGTAGATGAAGATGAAGTGTGGCTCTTCGTGTTTACTAGTGGTAAGTACATCTCCTGGGGTGTAGTTGGTTGCCGGCATTGATTCTTTGTTAGGGATGGAGTGCTGATGCTATTGTTGGGGCTTTGATGGTTGGAGTTTTGGCCATGGCATCACGTTCCAAATCCGGCGCTGATGATACAGTGAAGGTGAGATGGACGTCATGCTCATGTAGCGTGTGGGTCTTGGGGGTACCGCTGCGTGAACTCACGCACCTTTTCCCGCCAAGGCGTATTGATGGTTACGATGCAATATAGTGTTTTGTCTGTCCATCCATTATTCAAATCCCATGGATGGACATCAATCTGAAGTGAGTTTTTGAGGAAATTATGCAAGGGAAATTTCTCTGGATTTTTGTGAATTTTTGTGAATTTCTCTGGGTTAAAAGGGAATTTTCTCTGAGTTTTTGTGAATTTCTCTGAGTTAGAAGGGAATTTCTCTAGACTGAGAGAATTTCTTTGGGTTGAAGTGAGTCTAGAGAAATTCTGGTAAGATTTTCTCTGTGAAGTCGAATTTTCTCTGGATTAATTTGAGGGACCTTAAATATTATTAAAATATTAAATGTCTTTCATGTTATAAAGTCTTAACATCAGGGAATTTACAAATAAAAATAAAAATAAAACCTTTTTTTAAAGGGAAAATCGGTCTAGGGTCCCTCTCCCACTTTTCGTAATGGAAGAGGTCCACAAAATTATTTTTTTATGTCTAAGGTCCTAAACATATATCAGACAAATTTCAGTCAAACCCACCGCCATTCTTACCCACAACCACACAGACATGTACTTACATACATACATATAGAGAGAGAAACCCAGAGCTTTCTAGAGAGAGAAAATGAAGATGATCGGAACAACACTCCTTTCTCTTCGGAAACCATACGCCGTCGCCGTGTAAAAATAAACAAAAAATAAACAAAAACCAGTTTATAAAATTTTTGTAAATATAAACTGAAAACGTAAACGTTACCAAACACACCCATAATATTTTTTATGATGTTTAAGGTTCCTTCTCATATATCACGGAGAAATTTAACTCTCCCAAATTAAACTCATTTCTCTCTCTCTATACCTTCTCTATTTCATCTCTCTCTTCTCGACAGCTGGGACTCCGAGCTCCGCCTCTCCACCGGTATCACTGCTCGCCGCTTCGTCAGCCACTCCAAAGACGTCCGACAAAAGAAGAAACACCCACAAAGAGGCATGAGTGTGGCTCAGTTTGAAGGTTTTTTTTCCCCTGTTTTGGGAGTTCGCCGATCATGGCTGGTTATGTTTAGGTGGATGAAGATGAAGCGTGGCTCTTCGTGTTTACCAGTGGTAAGTACAACTCCTGGGGTGTAGTTGGTTGCCGGCATTGATTCTTTGTTGGGGATGGAGTGCTGATGCTATCGTTGGGGCTTTGATGGTTGGAGTTTTGGCCATAGCATCACGTTTCAAATCCGACGCCGATGATACAGTGAAGGTGAAATGGACGTCATACTCATGTAGCATGCGGGTCTTGGGGGTGCCGCTGCGTGAACTCACGCACCTTTTCTCGCCGAGGCGTATTGATGGTTACGATGCAATATAGTGTTTTGTCTGTCCATCCATTATTCAAATCCCATGGATGGACATCAATCTGTAGTGAGTTTTTGAAGAAATTATGCAAGGGAAATTTCTTTGGGTTTTTGTGAATTTTTTGTGAATTTCTCTGGGTTGAAAGGGAATTTTCTCTGAGTTTTTGTGAATTTCTCTGGGTTAGAAGGGAATTTCTCTGGACTGAGAGAATTTCTTTGGGTTGAAGTGAGTCTAGAGAAATTCTGGTAAGATTTTCTCTGTGAAGTCGAATTTTCTCTGAATCAATTTGAGAGACTTTAGATATTATTAAAATATTAAATGTCTTTTATGTTATAAAGTCTTAATATCAGGGAATTTAAAAATAAAAATAAAAATAAAACCTTTTTTTAAATGATAAAAAATAAAAAATAAAAAGAGTGCACTTTATTAAAGGGTTTTTTTTGGCAGTACGAGAGAAGAATTTTAATGAAATGAGGATATGCATGTTCATTTTGCTCCAATAAGGACAATATGCTGGCGCAATCTACATGTCATTGACAAAATACCCTTTCACATTTGAACTTTATAATTTATTATATAGCTATTTACTTTTAATAAAATTAATATTTTTAATTCTTCTCAATATCTATCCAATAAGATCATGTTGATTATAAAATTTTAAAAAGTAAAATTTTACTGTAAAGTTAATGTTAACCAAATAAAATTTTACTTTGTTAACATTATTTTTGGTAGTCACTATTATCATTTCACTTTATTTCAAATACACCCCTTTTTTATCCTTATTACAACAACTCCCTTATTTTTTACTCTATTAACATTAATTTAGACAGTAAAATTTTAGGATAAATTACACTGACACCTCCTGAGATTTGGTCCAATTACATCCCACCCCCTGACATTCTAAAAATTACATTCTTACCCCTGTGATTAATAGTCTCATTTCACAGGCCTCTGTTTATATATAAAAGTTAACAACTCCTAGTAGACAAATGGAGAAAATTACATTGAAAAAAAAAAGTAAAGCAAAGGAAAGGAAAGGGGGAAAAAAATAGAAGAAATAAAACAAAGTAAGGAAAGAGAGAGTACATGAATTCAATATTTTCATTCTATCTAAATAATTATAGGGTAGTGATTCATCCCCCGAAAATGGGGGAGCCCGAATCCCCCTAATTTCCATTTCAGGTAAAAAAAAAAAAAAAAAAAAAAAAAAAAAGGAAAAAAGAAAGAAAAAAAGAAAACAGTTTCCAAAATTGGAAATTAGGGGGATTAGGGGGCAACTTTTTAGGGATACAAATCATTTCCCATAATTATAATAACAAGGGGTTAGTGTAATTTTCCAAACTTTAAAGGGTGATATGTATTAAATCCAAATCTCAAAAAGTGTAAGTATAATTTACCAAAAAATTTAACATTTAAATAGTAAAATTCCATCATCGCTATCACTAATCACCACAATTACTATCACCATTACCATCGAGTGTGAGTGTAATAATGACACCATTCTGCGTGGTGTCAGTCCCCAATTTTATCTTCTTTTTTTATAATTATGGTAATAGTCAAATTTAACAGAGTTTTAGAAGAGCTGAATTGTTCTTGTTGCTTCATATTTTGCACTTCATGTTTTTCTGCTGCATTAGTAATGCTAGAGACCATAACATCAGACACAAAAAAAATTGCTAAAAAATAGTGTAATATAAATTCAATTCTCATATGTTGAGATCTATATTTAAAATGAATCTAGCCTATATGGTTTTACATAATATTTTTTTTGACGTGGGACTCTTAAATTCCATCTATGGCAAGATATTTTAGTGTAACTTATATGTATTAAAAATTAATAATCAAAAGTAGAAAGAAAAAACACATCTCCATCTTTTTTTTCAATAATAAGCTTATTTAAATTATTTTTATATCATAAACTATAAATAGAAGATGTATCAGAATATTTTGACACAATTTTCAAAAAAAAAAAAAAAAAAAGAAGAAGACTATAAAGAGCTCACCAAACAACTCCATCATGTCAGCTCCAACTAGAGGATCCATAAAATATCAGAAAAGTGAAAGGTCAAAAGATCAAGTCATGCTTTGATCTAATGCAACTATAAATACCATACTAGTTTGTACTTGCACAATATAGAATCACTCACACAAGTACACCTTCTTCAGATATAACCCATTTCATTTTCATTTTCATTTTCATTTTCACAACAAACAAAGAAAGAAAGAAACAATGAAGTTAGTGTTGTTAACAGCATTATTGGTGTTCATGGTTTCCCAGTGTTGTGATATTCTGAGGGTTTCAGCTGATATTGGGACCGCCACATCTTACGATCCTCCATACTTGCGTATGTTCAAATACTTCTTCTACAGTTTATTATAACCTCCTCTACCCTAACCATACTAACATGTTTTAATTTTTATTTATTTACTTATTTTTCCTTTCTTCAGTTTCACCTTTTCTAAAACACAAAAACCTTTTTAGTGAACTGTTTTTGTTGGACCAAGTGATCATGAGGAGGGCACTTAGGTGCCAAAGTGTGTGAGATTTCAAGTTTAAGTTTATGAAAAGACGATAATTTGTAATCTAATTATTAACCTATCAACTGTTATTGGTAAAAAAAAAAAGAGCTAGTGAGCCGATCAAAAAATAAATAAAAATTACACATGTATTTAATCCTTATAATTCTAATTGCATCATTTTTTTTTGGGTAAGTAATTGTATCAATTTTATCTTTGGATTTTTCATACAGTGTCAATTTAATTCAATTGCTAATGTTTCTTTACAAATTGGATTGAAAACAAAGGCCAAATAAGTCTATTTACTACTTCACAAAGTGATTGATATAATAATATCCAATTTGAAATGGAGCTTTTATTTGCACTATCTAAATACAAATTATTTACTCAATTCATGCCACACTCAATTTTAATTTTTTGATTTTTTTTTCTCAATTTACAAAATAAAGTTTTAAATAATATCAAAATACTCTCATCACTCCAAACTCAAATGTTAACCTTAGCTTAACCCGAACTACCACACACGCCATTCACTACAACATTTTCTTAGTTTAGTGGCATTTGAAAGTGCTACAAAACTATTCTTCTAATGACATTTTTTGGTCTTGTGACATTTTGAACATTTGCCACTTCTATCGGTGCCACGATAGATACGAGTGCCACGGTAGATACTTGCAAGTGCCACTGCACCATCATAGCTGAAAACTTTCAATGACATTTTAATGTCATGGTAGATATTATTTGTGGCACTATCAAGCGCCATTAAAAAAAGAGTTAGTGACACTTGTAAGTGTCATTACACCATCAAGACTAAAACCTTTCAGTGACACTTTAATGTCATGGTAGGCACTATTCGTGACGCTATCAAGTGTCATTCATGACAATAATTCGTTGTAGAACAATTTGATCCGCTCTTGCGGAGACTCGAACCGCCAACCTTCCGCACCATAAACCTTATACACCACACTCTTCCCACTACACCTCTATACCACCACATGATTATATATGCAACATATATTATTTATATAGTACATACATCCATATTAATATAAAAGTATATGTATAAACATAGTTATTTTATTGAACATAATTTATGCAAAATAAACTATTCACTACCAAAATAAAAAAAAAAAGACCACTTTTGGCAACTAAAAATATTTTTTAGTCGCCAATTCTATGCTTTTGGCTACTAATTATTTTTTAGTTGCTAAAAAACTTAACTTTTGTCGACCAAAATCGGATTTGGTCGCTGAAGATGCACTTTCAGCTACCAAAATTTTGGTCACCAAAAAATTTAATTC